GGTTTGTGTGGCCGTGTAAACGGGGTAAAACTTTAAAGGATTATACAGGTTGGGATTTCAGAATGTGGCCGTTGGCCGTATTAACGGGGTGTTCTAAAAAGAAAATGTATGGCGTTTTGCCGGGACAAACAATACTGAACGTAATAACGAGGTGACCGTATTAACGAGCGGGGTTCCACTGTACTAGTAAATCACCGAGGCAGCTGTTTTTAAAAGTTACAATAAGTGAGAAGAGCTTTCATAAATCCACAGTGTTGATATTCTTCGTTTCAAAATTTCGGAAACGTTAGCTCTGTATATTGCCATCATTATGCTATAACTTCACTGGAAGCCGGGTGTACTTTGGAACTGATTCAGAAGCTGTGAAACATTTGGCAGCTACACCAAACAAACTTGGCAGTATTCTCAGAATCACACTCCCTCCGCGCTCAGATTACGAGTAGTGCCCCTAAGTTCGCTAAGTCTGTCGAGAGAGACCGTAAATAAACCACAAGGAAAAAAATGGCCGCGCGAAAGGAGACCTTTTGGCACTTCTCACCCCCAGGATTTCGCGCGGCCATTTTTTTCTTGCGGTTTTCTTTCGCGTCATGCACAACGGACTAAGCGAAAGAGGGACTACTCGTAGTCTACTCCGCGCTCAACTAGCATTAACTGTTGTATTAAATCTGTCACATTTGTTAATCTCCCGTATGAACTCTAACTACTTACAGCACATTCGCCGTTTTAGAGACGCGAACAGACCTGGGACTAGTCACTAGTGTCCTCTCGCAATGGCATGTAGGACCGTAGAGAAGCCATATTTCCCATGTAACGATCCCACAAGCGACTGCGAGCTGAGACTCGTCCCAGGTTTCTTCTTGTTTCCAAAGCGGCGAATAGCTGGGAATGGCTCGTCTCTCTTACGTGCATGCGCAGCACGTATTCAGACAGCTCTTAGTCCCGTATGTAACGCTCCGCCATGTTCTCCTTTCAGAGCTTGAATGAGGATGGTGGTGTTCCACTAGCCAACAGTGTGAGTGTGAGCGATAAACTACGAGTTGATTTTCTCAAAGCAAAAGCCAGGCAAAGAGGAAGCACCGACCAATGCCCATTTAGACATGGTAAGGACCAACTTAGGTTGTGTTTTTTGGGGGAAAAAAATCCAAGGTTGGATTCTTAAATCCAAAAATGGATTTTACGTTTCTTTACTATACCGATTAATCCAGCTACTCGGACCAGATTGCATCAAGGGAACTGGCGAATCCTCTCCTAGACCCAGAGTGGATTTTTCGGTTTCTTTGAAGCACCACGATCCGATTAATTTGTTTGGTAAAGAAACGCAAAATGCGTTTTTGGATTTAAGAATCTTATCTTGGATTTCCCAAAGAAACACACCCTTATTCTTACTTATTATTATTCTTTGCAATCGCGAGATCAAATACCCGTTAAAACTGATATCATGAAATTTAAACCATGCTGTAAAACCTATATATGTCTGGCCCAATCCCTCACCTTGAGGCAAAGAACTGTCAAAGTAAAACCTTTGTATTAAGCTTAATTATGTGGGTTTACTTGATTATCTGTGATGAAGTTCTCTTTCTCCGAACCATGCAATATAGAGAGGCCATCATGAAGAGCTGAATACCGTAACGTTGTGTTTTGTCGCAAACAAACAAGTCACGGATTAAGAGCTTTCTGAGCCCGCGGTATACCATCTATTAATAGACACTGAACCCTTAATGCAAACATACTGTTCTACGCGTGAGGAAAAGGGAATGGAGAGAGTGAATGCGTGGTGCTTCCCAGTAATTTTAGTTGAGTCTTATCTGTTTCTATTACGTGCAGGTCAGCTAATTGTAGCTAAAGTTTTTGTTGGGAAGGTCGTACCTGCGAAAAATGGCAACAAGTAAGTGAAATCGTACCTTGTAAAATATCAGTCAACAACCTTACTTACTTGCTTGTTGCCCATCAAGCCACGGTGGCACACAGGGTAGCAATAATAGACCCTCTCCAACCCTGCCTGTCTCTAGCCAGCTTATCAATAGTGCTCCAGTTGCAGTTGAGCTCTCTTTGTCTCGCTTTCTTCAGTTCTGCGTCATGTTATTTTTGGGCGCCCTTCATTGTGTTTCGCCTTCAAGTATTCAGCGCATTGCAATTAGTCAACAACCTAAGAGGCTTAATAGCACATGCTCCTGTTCTGATACTGAACTTGTTTTGCAGAAGTTCTGTCAGAACTAAAGCCTTAATCTTCTCAGCGTTTTAGCGTGAAACGTCCGTCGTTGCTTATAAACAACCAATGTTACAATTTGCCTTCCATTTCTCTTACTCCTTTCTTACGGTTTTCGTTCTTTTCTCCTTCAGCACTGAAAGCTGAACTTTTTACTTACTATTTAATTGGCATCAAAAACAATATTAGAGTTCTAAACAGAAAATTTCATTTTAATTAGAATCACCAGATCTGTGTACCGAGGAGCCGACTCTGTATTCCGATCTCAGAAGCATGAGAACTGTCCGAGCAGGCCTGGGTCGACACTGAAGAGACCGATTGCGGACACGAATTGCGAGTGCAGCGCGCGGCAGTGCGCGTGGTACGTGTTCGATCACGAGATGGTACTACCTGAATACGTGGTTGACTTTGAGTACATCACTAAGGTAATTACATACAGCTGAACGTCTGTAATACGGACACTAAAGGAGAAGAGCCCAGCAGGTGTCTGTATAATGGAGTAAAGAGAAATGGTCAGTGGTCAGAAAAATATTCTTCAAAGTCAGGGAATTTTATTTTGAGTCAGGAAAAATTGACATTTCGAAGAAAAGTTAGGCAAAATCGAAGTAATTTAGTTAACACGAGATTTTTAAATACCATTGAAGACTGGAAGAAACATTTTGGATCACTGTGATCTCAACCATATTTTTTTCTTAATGAAGAAGAAAAATTTGTTGAAAACTTATCAGTCTTAAATGAACGAAAAGAGCGGTTGTAAATTGAGGCTGGGTGCCGCTACTTTGTCTGACATTTCGTATTTATCTGTTCAGGAAAACTTGATTTTTATCAGGGGAAAGTCAGGGAATTTTGACAAGTGATTTATGTGGCAACCATGATTTGATTGTGGTGGGTCTGCAAATCCAAGCTACATGTACGCACTGGCTAGTAGTAATGTGGACTGAACCTTTCTGTCAGGTGAAGCCCAAGTCCTCTTTTATTTATTATTATGGAGAGATGAGCAGTACAAGTTCTAAACAGGGAGCTAACCCTGACGAAGAAAAGGAAGAGATCATTGATGGAGATGTTTTAAACATGGAGCCGGTGATTCCTTCAAGACCAAGGTAACGGTTTGAAATTAATGGTGATTAATGAAGAATCGAGTAACTTGTTAAAAAAAAAATGTTCAAATGTTGTTTATAGTGGTAAATGCGCTTAACTACGCCTAGCTAGTTCACAGACATGCCACTTAAACTGAAAATAATATATATATCAACCAAACATAGTAAGCTTAAAAATCCCAACTGGCGGGAGGCAGACCAGTTGGCTATTTACAAGCATGACCGAGGAGTTGACCTAGGGTCTACCGAGAAAAAACTCCAGCTTAGTGGTGAGAGCGGGACTTGAACCCGCGACCTTCAGATTTCAAGTCCGGCCCCCTAACCACTCGGCCACGCTGCCTGCCTTCATTCAAGTGTGAAATATGTCAAACTAATAAAATACAATTCCTTACTGTTTATCGTTTGAAGGTTAATTGCCTTAACGGAAGAACTGTTGTACAAGAGGTGTCAAGTGGATTCGCTTGAGCACATCCTGGTAAGTACAAGATTCTTTATTTATAAGTGAATCTTTGTTTACAATATTTGCCTCATTAGCGTGAGTTATTCAGTTTCTGAAAACAGTTTCTGAAATGACTATTTAAAGGGCATAGCACAATTAAATATCCCAAGGAATTTGAGCCCGATTTATTGAATACTTTTTGTGTGGTGCAGGTTTAAAAACTCGGCATTTTACAAAGAATGTATGGGCCCAGTAGCGCTTTTGTCACCCAGAAATTTTGCAGTTTTTGAAATTCAATTTCTCCTTGAATATTACACCCAAAGAGCCAAACATTTCACCAATCACTATGTTTCACAAGCTCTTTAAGTGTTTGAAGTCAGTATTTATCGTACCCAAATTCGGTCAAGTGACCATGATATCGTAGCCATATCAGGTTAGTGATTTGATATCGCAGGATATCAGGACAGTAGACACGGCTTCTGATTGGCTAATTGCGAATTTGGGTACGGTAAAAACACCTGTGATTGTAAACTGTAATTCTCATTCTTTTTCTTTTCTTTTTCTCAATCAGTGCTTGAATCTCCATGGGAACGGTCTTAGTCGACTCCAGCACGTGAGCTGTATGACGGCGCTCAAGAAACTGACAGTCAGCTTCAACGAACTGACCCGATTGGACGAAATCGGTCACATGGTAAGATCACTCGGTGTAAGCCCCTCAACAGTTATGCTATCTGTATCAGTGCCTGGACTCGCGCTGGTGTAAAATCACGTGGTTACTGTTTTAAATTACGAAAGCATTTCCTCTTCTTTATGGTACCTTTGCTCATTTTTATGTTCAGTGCATGCGTATGTTTAGTGCTCAAGGCTCGCCGTGCTTTAGCATATTATTGTCGTGCTGTTGTGGCAGCCAACAAATCAGTGAAATGTTATCTTATCTGTTGATTTGTGACAGATTTTCCTGGAGTATCTTGATGTCAGTTTTAACAAAATCACTACCTTGGATGGACTGAAGGTTCGTAATGTCTTCACTGTAAATGCGGCAGAAAATTTAGATTTTTATAGATTTTGTCAGTGGGACTTGTTATAGCGATGTTTGGTTTAGTGTAGAGCGCTACTCGAAACAGCTTACAGTGTTTTTTTTTTTCTGTGCATTTCACAGGGCTGTAGTCGTTTGAAGCATTTAGACGTGAGCTGGAACCAACTGATTCACACCCGAGAGGAACTAGGCATTATGAGAAAACACGTGATCACGCTTACTTACCTGGATACACGTAACAATCCATGGCAGAAGGTGAAGATCGTGTGAGATTGATACATGTAGATGACACATTCTAATGGATGTGACAATTTAAAGAAAATGTTAAGGGAGGCCTGAAGGCAGAAATGCTCTCCTTGCACACGTGTCTGAAGGGAAGACTGAGGTATTGAATAATTTGGGCTAGTTTGACGTTGTGTAAATGTGGTAACTACAACAACAACAACTTGCAGTTCAAGGGACCTCAAAAGAAAATGTTGCTGTTATTGGCCATGTATTTCCGTAACGTAACATCCACATGATATTTTGAATTTTGCCTATTGTTCAGGGTCACTCGTTTTGCGTGTGAAATTGACCAATCCGCAAACATTTGTATCTGAGTTTCATCTGAGGTCATTACCAGGTGCATTCAGTAGATAATTGGTCCACAAGCCGGTTGTTCTATTTTTGGCTGCTTCACCGTGCTGACGAGACCTAGCCAGGTCGAAACACCTGTTCACGGTTGCAACAGACCTTTCCCGCCTTCCAACAAACAATAGCGCCAAGTCGAGGTCAGGGTGGACAATAATACAGTAAATGTATGAAAATGCCCACCCCAACCTCGCACTGGTGCTATTGTTCGTACGCACTAAAGTGCAGTGCGGGAAAGGTCTATTCTTTGCTTTCAGTTTGGACTTTATCATGTCGTAGTCCCGTTATGTTTTCTACAAAGCAGTAAATCTACTAAAGCGAGGATTGATTAGGTGAACTGTTATGGCAACTTATAAAAGATGAAGGTTGTTGTGTTTATTCATTTTTTTAGCCAGAGACGTTACGAATGCGAGCGCTTGGAAGACTGAAAAATCTCGAATACCTTGATGGCATTCAAGTCACTGATGAGGAAATGACGACAGCTTTAAAGATGGCGGCCGCCTCCCGCCCTTCTTCCTTCGCTATCCTTGCGCATGCTCGCACAGATCAGAACAAACCGCGCACATTGAGCCTAGTACCCACTGCCCAAGCTATCCTGGCGAGCAGTCTGAATAAACCTGTAAAGTTACAAGACGATGATAGTCAGTGGTTTATCAAGGTGACTGGAAAAAATGGAATTTCTCTCAAACTTTGTTGCAGTGTGAATCAATAAAAGTTTAATATTTGGTGTTTTTTGTTAGGTTACAACCGTTAATCTTGATAATCAACATCTTGGAAAGTTAGCTAACATGGAACAACTAGAAAACTTGCGTTGGGCTTCGTTCAACAACAACGATCTTACAAAAATCGAGGTACGTGAACATAAAATAAATTCGGTAGCTGTTTGTAGTTACGTGTGCTCATACAACTAACCAGTAGTTCTGGCATTGCGATTAAGTAATTCATGCATAGTCAATGAGCATAAAACAAAAGATGTACAGGGTCAAGGACTTTGCAACACAAATCTTAGCCTGTTTGTTTGCTTCACTGATGTTTACCGGGTTTCTTAACCATAATTTCCTTCTATTAACTATGTTTATCGTAAATCCGTTAAGAACGGTTTTCAGTAAGCGCGAGAAAAAGTGGTTGGGTACCTGTCTGATTGGCTGCTCTGAACGCACGTGATTAGTTATGAACCAATCACAACGCCCACTAAGCGCAAATTGTAGCCACTTGAAAAGGACTCTGTCAAGCGCGTCTTTTTTCGCCTAACATTTTTCCAAATCAGATTTTTTTTCTGTCCTGTCTGGGTACAACGTATTCTGTACATTCCACCATCGAGAGCAGAACGAACAACGTTGCTTTTTTCGTTCTTAAGTTAAAATCAGCAGATCCCAATAGAACATGAATACCGTATGGTCTTCATTTTTTTGCAGAATAATTGCAAAAGAAAAGGACAAAGTATTTTAACTCTTTGTCCCTAGTAACACATCGCCGCTCCCTAGTCTTTCAGAACTAAATTCGCTGCTTTCTTTCCAGGGCCTCGAGTGTTGTGTTCATTTGGAGGAGCTTTCAATTGAAAACAATTGTATCAGCAAGTTTGAAGGTAAATTTACGTTATTGTTTGGTAATATCACCAGTCTTTACGACTTGATATCCCTTGGACCTGCAGGACTGGTCAACGACCAATCAGAGCACGTGTTGGATATGAAAACGTAAGTTAGCCGCCAATCAGAGTTCTTGTTATGTGCAAATATGTCTATTGACCAATCAGAGTTGGTTTTATAAACAAAGTTTAAGTGACCAATTGGAGCTCATGTTAGGTACAAATACGTTTAGCTGGCCAATCGAAGCTCATGTTATACGTATTCCGTAAGTTGGCCGCCAATCAGAGTTCTCGTTATGTACAAATACGTTCATTGACCAATCAGAGTTGGTTTTATCAACAAAAAGTGGCCAATCAGAGTTCATGTCAGGTACAAATACCCTTAGTTGACCGATCAAAGCTCATGTTAGATGTATTCCTTTTCGGTTTCTGTCAGGTTTAAGCAAGCAGTCTAAGTTATCATGGCTAAGTCTTGCTGGTAACCGACTCAGTTCCCTTGACACTGGGATCTTGGAAAAACTACCACTGTTGAGATATTTATCTGTGGAAAACAACGTCCTTATGGTGAGAAAAACATTCTCACATGAATGGCTTGAAACCCTTTGAGAGGACAATAGAACAAACAACGGAAGCAATGCCTCCTAGCCCCAAAACAATAACAGCTGCTGCAATGACGACAAATAGTTTACGAGAGCTTCTACACTACCGCAAATGGTAAGCACAAATGCCCAATGGTAAGTTTCGTTCGGATTGTCCATTTATCATTTACTCATAAAACCCCAATTTACCGAGAGAGCCTGGGACGAAGTGAACCTGATCATAATTCCAAGATGGCGGTGAAGAAGTGCAAATGTAAGCACATTTTCCACTCGGATATTGCGGTTAGAAATTTTGGACTACCTTTCAAGACGTTGCGTTTATTTCGAAAGTCTTCCGGTCGGTCGAAATTTCCAGAATTTTCGGTTAAATGGTTATCAACCCATATCACTGGAGAAAGCGCAGGAAAGCCTGTAACTGTTGGACAGCGAGGAAAGTTTCGTCATTCTGCAGCATGTAACGTCTAGAACGCTTATTTGTTCTCTCGGAAATCTCTGATGATTCGTTTAACCATATTTCCTTTCTTTCTCAGGCTGACTCCAGATTTTATCGCTGAACGGTTAGGACACTCCAATTTCTCCGAGCTGAGAGAGCTTGACCTACCTCACAACTCGCTAAGAACTGTGGACCTGGGAACTAAAGACGCGTTCATCAATTTACGAAGGTTAGCACCAGGCCACCTCGTATCCTCCCGTTGTATGGTGTAGTAACTAGAGGGGTAAGGTTGGGAGTTGGGGTAAGTAGTAGGGGAGGGTCGAGGTGGCTTAATATGTTAGTGACGTTTCGAGAGGATGCGTGTGAATATGCTTGGAAATTACAAACTAAGTGGGACCATACATTTGAGTTTGGGGAGTAGGGATGGCGCAGTGGTGAGAGCGCTCGCCTCTCATCAGTGTGATCCAGGTTCGATTCCGGCCCGGTGCCATATCGTAAGTTGAGTTTGTTGTTAGTTCTCGCCTTGCTCCGAGGGTTTTTCTCCGGGTTCTCCGGTTTTCCTTCCTCCACAAAAACCAACACTCCAAATTCCAATTCGACCAGGATAGAGGACCCGCTTCCTCTCTAAATATTGTAAATTTTTGCTTTGTACGTTTCAGTGTGGGGGATGGCATAAGGTTGCCATATATGATATTCTCTATCGGCTTTGTTCCTTGAATAAATAAGATTTATAAAATCGTACCTTTAAGTACAATAATCACTCTTCGAATTTTTTGTTTGTTTGTTGTCAAAAACAGAGCTAAGCAGGTTTTTCTTTTAGAAGTGTACTAAAGAACATCCGTTTTGACCATTTCAGTGTGAATCTTGAACATAACTCCTTGACTTCATTTGGTGGCTTGGTGAACCTCATCAATCTCAAGGTGATAGAAATTGTTCTTATTAAAAGTATATGGATATGTGCATTTGGTTATCTTCCAACTTTCAAGTAGCAAAGACAGCTTATAGCTCAAATCATGTTTCAACACGAACTAAAAATCGTCATATCGGACCAGTCTGTTATCGGATTAAATCTGCAAATGATAGCTTAGCAAGGTAGAAGAACAGCAGAGGAATTCTGGTAACTCACAACAAAGCAAGGATGGATAGAATTTGCAGAATGGATAACTAACAAAGTCGCAAAATATTTCAGTTGTCGTTTCTTAGAGTAATTATCAAGTGAAAGCGACAGTTTGCAAAACTAAATTCTGTTATTCTTGCTTGGAACCTATTTCTGCGTTGTAGACGAAAAGCATAACCGTGTCTTCACTCGACGTCCAAGTTTTAAGTCTAACAGTATTCCTAAAACCTTGCTCGTTGAAATGCGTTAGTTCAAAGTTGATCCACTCTCTCGTCAGGTCCTCTGTCTCAACCACAATCACATCGAATGCGTGGTCGCAAAGCCTAAAGCTACATCACCCGCCAATGCACCAAAACGAGGCGGTGACATCACCTTGGCAGCAGAGATCACCAACCCAGAGAACTTCACCCCAGTCCTCCCCAATCTTGAGGTTCTGCACTTGGGGTAAGAAAGTTCTTTATTGGTTGTTATTTGTTTGAATGTAAAAATTGGTCACTAATACCAAAAGGTAACCTGCGACGGATTGAAACAAAGATCTTTAAAATGCATTAGAAAGTGAGGTTACTTATAGTTTATTCCGCAAACTTACGCCACGTTTAATGTTTGCCAACAGATACAACGGTATCACGAATATGGCGGCCCTTCAGTTGTCAAGGCTGACTAACTTAAGAGCTCTGTTCTTACAGGGTAGGTTTTATGAAAGACTGCTTGAAAGTTCTGCTTAATCCAGACTTAAAAGTTAGCACCATCTTGTACACCATAATAAACAGTACCACGTGAAAGTACTGCTCAATAGCTTTCATATGAATGGTCACACACTAGGGTTTCATCCACAGACTTCTAAGTTAGAACCACCTTGAACAGATCACATACTAGGGCTTCATCCGCAGGCTTAAAAGTTAGAATCACCTTGTACAGCATGATAAACAGAACCACATGAAAGTACTGCACAATAACTTTCATTTGAATGGCCACACACTAGGGTTTCATCCACAGGCTTAAATGTTAGAACCACCAGACCTTGTACAGCATAACAAACAGTGCCACATGAAAGTACTGCACAATAACTTTCATTTCAATGATCACACACTAGGGTTTCATCTGCAGAGTTAAAGTTTGAACCACATCAACTGGCTTGTGGTTTGGTTCTTTGAGTAAAACTTTTACTTTTGACAAAACAGTCTTGCTGACTTAAATGATATTCTTATAATACCTTACCTCATAGGGAATGATATTAGCAAAGTGGAAGGCCTTGAAGGACTTCAACAACTTAGAGAACTTGTATTGGATCGAAATAAGATCAAGGTGATATGATTTTTGCGTTGACAGTATTTTATATTAATTGTCTTGTTCTTCTTGTGTTCTTTTTTTTATTATTATTGTTAATTTTATTTACAGGACGAACACTTACATTACTTACAGTACTAATTTACACTTACAATATACTTGTTACTTACTAATACACTACTTATACTTACACTTCCTATACTTGCACTACTTAAAATACATATATTACAATACAATTTTGCTAATTAAATTATAGTTGGCCTACTTACAATGCTCTTTTTTATATTACAGATAAATTGCATAAACATAAGTTACATACACGATACATTTTACTTCTCTACAACGTGCTTAATTATGCTACACTGCTTCCTTACTTTTCAACTACGACCAACGGAAAAACACTAAAAAGGAAAAAAAACACAAGCAAACAGACAGAAAAAGAGAGAAAGTGAAAAAAAGGGGAAAACAGCCTCAGTTCTTCTTGTGTTCTTGATTTTAAATATGTTCTATCATGCACTTTCATTTGTTGATTTGTTCATTCATAAACAATTTTTTTTTATTGATTTATTTCTAGAATATTTCCAGCACATCATTTGTTAGTCAATGGAACGTAACCGAATTACATATGGAAGAAAACAGGTGGGACGTTAGTCAGTTTAGTTATTATTTCAAACTTTAAATGTCTTATAATCTTGCTCTCTGATGCTCAGTACCAGCAAAGACGAAATGCGAAAAATGCGTAGCTATGTCTATTCGATACCAGCGCCAGGTTGATCCAAAGCTAAACTCGAATTCTTTTCCTCAAGCAAAGTAAAATTACTGTTCTTTGGCTGTTGCAAATTAGGAAATTATCTTCAATGTACAGTCAGTGAGGTATATAATATTGACAGTTTTTGAGATTGCTAAATACCAGTTCAAAAGATGGTTATAGCGGGAAAATGGGGC